AATGAAAACTGACAGAGACAGAGATAGAAATAGATGGAGAGCGTAGGGTGTCAGGTGTTGAGCTGCTGCCGGCCTAGGGTTGCTGACTGTGTGTGTGGCCTATGGGTTTCAAATCTCTTGGGGAGTCTTGGCTGAATTTTCACTGTCTTCCCAGGTCTTCCAAATAAGCCTTTAGGCGCCCCCCAAAGCCTGAAGTTCCCACAGCAGGCCAGCCCTCTGAACATGAGAGTGGACAACACACTTTCCGCCCGAGCAAAGCTGATGAACTCTACTCCAACCCTCTGGACAAGCACAGCCACCACAGCTATGCAGCGGGGCAACTGTTCCAGCAAAGCTGCCCGAAGAGCCTGGTGTTCAGCTCCTGCAAATATCATCCCTGGAGTTGAGTCACCAAAGCCCCTTCAGCCCCAGCCCCCAAGCCAGAGCCCGGGATCCCCCCACAGCCTGCGTCCGCAGCTCTCCCTGGGGGCTGCAGTTGCTCCCGCAGGCCTCTCTGTGGTGTTTCCATACCCAAGATTTCTGCTCTCAGACCTGGGGCCCTTTTCATCAGGTCCTCCCGAGCTGCCTCTTTACATGCAAAGAAATAAATCTTTAGTTTGCACCCCGCTGTTCCCATATGTGGTGACTTACAGAGGCTCTCTAAGCACAGTTAGTTCAAAAACTGCCCTGGGAAAGGTAAAGAGCCAAAAGGTGTGGCTGGCATAAGGCATGCAGAGGTAAGACACAGGTAAGAAGGAAGTTGACTCAGGGAGTGCCAAGCCCTGTGCTAGGTTTCACCTCGAGGACTCTACATTCCCATGGGAAGCTTCCAGGGCATATAGGACCGCACCTGGGACCCGGCCGAGGGTCTGACATATTCTTCATTGGCTCAGTAGCCTTTGGAGAGAGAATAACGTTTCCTGGTGACCTCTACTCTGGTGTTATTCCCAGGATGCACACTAGATGGCAGCAGAGAAAAAGCTTCACCCGGTGACCTCCACTCAGGTGTTATTCCAAAGATTAACACTAGGTGGCAGCAGAGGATACATTTCCCTGATATCTTCGACTCGGGTGTTATTCCGAAAATGCACACTAGATGGCAGCAGAGGATAAATTTTTTATTACTTATGCTCTGATGTTATTCCCAAAATGCCCACCAAATGGCAGCATAGAATGAATATTCATGATGACAAAACCCTGGTGTTATTCCTAACATGCTTACCACTTGGCACTGAAATGAGAATCTTGATCCTTGGTACTAAGATCACTTGGAGATAAATCCCGTTTTAGGCCCTTTGCATCCTTTATCTCACCTATTGCTCCCATTTCCCAGATATGACAGGGACAATTATCTCCATTTCACGGGTATTAAATCTGAAGACTGATTCTAACACAGTTCAAAGTCCAGAGCCAAGGCCTAAGTGGGCCACGATGGGCCAGAAGAACATGTCACACAGTATCCTGGACAAATAGATTAATCTAAATAGTCCTTGCAGCGTTGAGTTGAATCTGGGTCACAGTACTTGAGGGAAATCTGCAAATGACCTAACGGTCCAGCTTGCTATGTGCTCACTCAAGCTGGTTTTGGGGGTGAGACTTGGGCAGGCAGCTTGGGATGGTGCAGGTGGGGAGGGAGGTGACCGGCCTTTCAAAGGAGTATAACCAGCCCCAGATCCCTATAACAGTGACTTCCCCGCTTCTACACCTTGCCTGTCCTTGGGCTTTTTAAATCTGTTCTTCTTTAGGCCAGAGCACCGGTCTGCTCCCACCCATGTTCCTTTCTTCTGAGGTCTCAACTGCCAAGAGCTTCCTAGCTGCTCAGAATGGAGTCTAGGGTGGCAGTTTCCTTATGGGGTGTGGGGAATACCCACAGGCACAGAGCCCCAGACAGGCACAGAGCTGACTTCCGGCCCCACCACCTACTAACTAACTGTGAGACTTCAGGCAGAGAAATGGAAACTCAGTCCCCTCGCCTGTCAGATGGGGGTAACCGCTCCATCAGGGGGCTGAGAGGGCGCAGTGCGAAGGTGTGTGTCAGCCCCTGCCCAGCATGTGGTCAGCACTCACTCTCCCTCCCTCTTCCCTTCTTAGTCCTTTCTTGACCTTCTATGAGCTGGATAAATCAAGAATTTAGCAAATAATCTCCTTTTAGCAGAATAAGGTCTCTTATCAGTGTCCAAATAACCAAAGTCCCCCGAAGTGCTTACTCTGACGTCTATGCTCGCTTTATCCTCAGGAAGTATTAACTGCAGCCTCTGTGGACTTCATACCCCGTTGCTCCTCTCCAAACACATGGCCCCCGCCTCAGCTCAGGCCACCAGTGGTGTCACCAGTCTTCCCACTGTTCTCCCTGCTTCCTGTCCCTCTCTCGTCCACTTTAACCCCCCACACTGCAACCAGCTCGACAGAACTACCCACGGGTTCCCACAGCCCAGAGAATAAAGCCTCTATGATGATCACAGCGTCGAGACTCTTTATCAGGCCCATTTCTGTCCTGGTCTCATTTCTTATCAGGACACACCAACTCGATCACCCGGTACCCCGGCTGTCTGCATTGCCCCCTCTGCTTGGATGACTTCTAAGGGCTTTCACAGATGGGGGCACCAGCGCTGAGACCAAGCTTGCGTGCAGGAACCCGAATAAAATATGCACTTCAGTGAATAATTATGCATCGATATCTGCTTGTGAATTGTGACAATTCTGTAAAAAAAAAAACAAAAAAAAAAAACAAAAAAAAAACTAGAAAGAGGGAGGGAAGAAATGAAAAGTGAAATAAGATAAACGTACTGCAAACCTAGAGGATATCGGTGATTTTATGGTAAAAAATAAGCACTAATAAAATGGACCCTAAAATCAGGAAAATATGAGCAGATCAATGTGCCATCCAGGGACCTCTTCCCCTGCTGGTTCGGGGAGAGGGAGGGACAGGGACAGATCTTTTTGGCAGGTCCCCTAAGAATGGACCCAGCATCTTCATCTCCCCAGCCGCGTCCTGCCCAGTGAGGACACTCTGCTGGACGGAGTCTCGGGAACTATGGATCCTGATGTGTCAGCCAGGGCTGTTCTGATTGTAAGGAACCGGACACGCTGACCGAAGTCAAATAATTTTAATTGATAGAAATCAATTAACATTTGCAGCAGGCAAGTTTAAGGTGGGTTTGGAGTTGGCGGGTCCTCACGCTCGCAGTGGGAACCGGTCTCTCTCCAACCCTCCATCCTGCTAAGTGCCGTTGGGTGGCCTCATTCACGAGCACAGTCTCTCTGCCTGCGTCCAGGGTCCCCGGCAACGCCAGGCCGACACCCACAAACCACCCGTTGCACCGGGGAGGGTGTCTCCTTGCCTTGGGTTCTATGAAAAGTCATGGCTTAAAATGCCTTTGGCCTGGCCGGGGTTACGGTCTCATCCTTGAGGCCATCGGAGCACCCACGGGTTGTGACGTGGGGTTGGCTTGATGTGGGGTCGGCCCTCTGGAGCTGTTTGGGCTGGAAGCAGGTGAGATGAGTTCTTGAGAAGAGATGCTGGCTCGGGGACAGCAGCGGACCGCGTGGCACCGACAGCCCCCTGCACAGATGCGGGATCCGAGGCCCACAAAACGAAGGGGTTCGCCTAGTGGTCAGGGCTGCAGCCACCCGTCCAGTCCCCTTGCTGTCCTCCCACAACGACAAGATGCAAAGCTCCTTTCTGCCTCCGGCAGGGGGTCCTCGCATCTCCTTCTCTTTGGAGAAGAGATGTAAAATGTCACAGCATATATCAGATTTAATGTTTTTAATGAACAGCGTGAATCCAAAATAATTTTGTACGATGTGCCCCAACCAAAAGAATGTTCTAACTGATTTACCCCAGTGGCCTTTCTCCATAAGACAAAACAGTTGAACTGATCTAATGGCTAAATCTGGGAACAAGGTGGCTGTCCCAAACGGGCACCTCGGCTCTCGCCAGCAGCTGGGAATTTCATAAAACTTCCTTTCCCTATATGTTTGCAGAATTATGTTTTGCCAGTGAAATGAAGTCGCGTGAGACTTGGGAAGCAGAATTCTGGGAAGTGGAGGCCAACACTTTCCGAAGGTCGGGGCGGTCAGACATGAAGATGCCAAGGTGCCTGGCACACCCCAGCTTTCTCGGTGTCCTCCACTCCACATCCAGCTCACCCGCCTGACTACCGGCTCTGAGGACCAATGCGGATGCAAGTGAAGCCCTTAGCATCGGGTCTGCTGAGGCCGTGACTTCCACAAACCTTTCCCCGGGTGGCCCTTCACACACCCGCTTCGGCAAATAATTAAACAGGGCTTCTCGGGTTTCTCAACGAGCTCCAACCTGCCCACCATTGTCAGCGTTTCAAGTGCAAATGCTTAGGGGACTGTTCCTCTGATCCCCCTGCGCCCCGCTTCCAGGCCTGCCGCTCCCCGTTTGCCACACACTGTGTAAGCTTGAGCCCTGCATTACACCCGATTCCATAAACTTGCTTTGGCTCTGGTTTCGTAGGTCAACCAGTCCGCCCCATTTCTTATTCTTGAGAAGATGGAGCTGTCAGAAAGAGTCCTGCTTCTAATGGAGAACATGGCAGGGGGAGGGCCCTAGGGCCACTATTGTCGTCATTACATCCATTCGCTTCTAGCTGCCTGGGAAGCAACTCCATGTCTTTGTCCGGCCAAGCGAGGTACCGGCAGACTAAGCAAGGGGAAAGCATTGTCTGATGTAAGTCATAGCTACTCACCGTGAAGGAAACTTATGGATATATAACTCAGGATGACGGTGCCAGCGGTTTTACAGACTGATTTGTTCTTTTATTGGGAATATATATAACCTACATATATTTTTGAGTTGTTTTGTGTCTTTTTGTTTTGAAGACGTTTTTTTATAGAAACCTGAGAGAACGCTGCTGCTTTTGACCGAAAGACTGTAAGTCACGCTTGTTAATTAATGTATTTTCAGCATAAGTAAAATGCTATGCTTATGTAAACGATGGCAGAATGTCATCAGAAGAAATCAGAGTCCAGGAAGAAATTGTAAAACAAACAACTCATTGTATTACTCTTAAATTTTATTAATGCCTTCAGTTTGTGCGTCATTTAAAACAAGATATGTGCTTTAAAAAGCATTCTTATACATAAACAGATCGAGGGACAGTTAAGTCATTTATCCCTAAGACATGCACATCATTTTTATTCAGTCGTGTATACGAAAGGGAAATCCACTTTAAGTCCTCTTCTTTGGATTAAAGACATTTGGAAATTATTATTCAGGAATGGCAAATGTTTTCCTGGAACAAATGTGTTTTCCAGTAGGAAATGCTGATGCAATTAAAAGGCATTAGTGTTGATAAAGAGAACATTTGTAGAATGCATGGTCGCCAGGAAAAGCGTTCCAGTGGGCCTGAAATCCGTGTCCAATTAATGAACCGAAAGGTTTACGTGGAAGAACAGGTAGCATCAGCCAGGTTATATGACACATATATATTCAAGGCACGTGACTAGGCTAAACAGGTGGCTAGGTTTTACAGACTGATTTGTTCTTTTATTGGGAAAATAGTCGAATATAATAGAATTTCTGCTTACTGGCATTTATTGATCAATAAATGCAGTTAGATCCAGAGCAGTAAATGTCCTTCCAGATACACACCAAAAGTACACACCAGCAGAGAGACGTCACAGTCGCCGAAGCGAAGCATCCACAGCAGTTTTCCTACAGTGCAGTTAAATGGATGCTGAACTGTCTTGCGTTGTTTCTAGACATCGTCGTGCCTACTCTCGTTTCACGAAAGAATTCTTCAAAAGTAGGCAGATTAAAGAACTTACTGAACCACAAAGGATGCTCAGACTATTATTATTCGACAGCAGCCAGACCCAAACCCTGGAGCTGACCATGTTCTGTTTGGGCTTTTCCCAGAAAGGAAAAACCTTCCCACGCTGCCTCCATTCACAGAGCTAAAACGTTAGCGTGTCCTCTGTGGTGCCTCCCCACCCCCTCCACTGTCTATTCTATTAACTATAGAATGGCTCTAAAAATCAACTGAGGACCAAAGAAATATGTGGAAAACCATAACCTTCGGCCATATTTAAACCATTATCTTCTCAAATCAACTGCAACGGGGAAACAGAAGCTACTGAGCTCTGTGAGGTTTGCAAATGGTCAAATCTTTCTTCCTGAAAGTGAGTACTAGGAAGTCGAACATAATTCCACGTGCTTCTAAAAATATTCTCCCTCTGACCAAGACAGAATGTCTAATACTTTATCTGCTTGGGCTGCTAGAAGCAGGCAGCACCAACAATTGAATTACAATTCCCCAAATAACAGTAATTCTCCATTCGTATTGTTTTCGAGCATCTAAAACTCCTCAATACCAAAAGACATAAACATGAGATGGTAGCAATACGTGTCTCTCGAATACTTTTCTGTGCACGTACAATGTTCAGCTACAGTTTTAGCAGGCAGTTTACAAGACTGGTGTTTTCCACCTTGGCGATGGCTTTGTGCAATCACCGACGAAAACGTTTCTCTGAGTCTATAATACTAGTGAACAAACCAAAGGAACGGACAAAAGCCTTTTTAAGGCTACTGCTGCAATAAATGGTTCATTTTGAAGTACACTGGAATAAACTGACTGAGAGGACAAAGATAAATCTGGATGCATAGAACAGGATTAAAAACAGAAAGAGAAAGAGAGGGCTGAAGAGACTGGCAGACGCCATCTGTCAGTAGTGAAAGGTTTAGATCATTCGGCCTTTTAACTCCTTGTTCTCTCGTGTCGTCCGGTGAATAACTTTGTCTTTTCTATTTTTACACACAGCGGGGCCATGTAAATCCACCACACAGAGGTGACACGATGATGTAGATGAACACCTGGAGGGGCGAGGAAAGCGATTTTATTGTCCTGGATCTACCACAGCCTGCTAAATCTTATACAGAGCAGCGATCTATTCACGATACACGAATCAAGCGCTTTCAAAGACAGAAGTTGAATCAGACTTATCCTTTCTGTGACAACTCTCAGCCATTTGAATTCCACTATTCCGCTAATTTCTCCAGCGACAGTTTCTCTTTACTTGGTACTAGTACGATTACTATTAAGCGTATGCTTAGGTTGTACACGCGGATTAATTTTTCATTGTTGGGATGTCCGAAAAAACTCAAAAGCACGAGCGGAGACTCTGTATCACTTATGAGCAAGATGTCGCTACCATTTCAGAGGATAATGACACAATAATTATAATTAGCAACTCGAAGGAAAGCTGATGGTAAAGAAACACAGCAAAAATGCCAGTCCCGTTATAGATGTCAACTTTTTATAACGTTATTATTTTAAATTACGGTATTTTTAATAGCATATGCTTGTTCATGTGACTAGATTACAAACTAGATTTATTCTAAACATTGCATTGGCTGCATTAAATGAGTCATTTTGTTTTGCTTTCGATCGCAACTTTTCGAGTTAAGTGACTGGTTTCGTGACCTGCATGCTTGGAAAAGAAAATTTAGGAATCCCGAGCCCTCTCCGAAGTCATCCAAGTGTTGCCTTCCTCCTCTACAAATGTTGGGGGGTGGTTTATGGCACACTCTGGTTATCGACAAACAGGTTAAAGTGCTCACATTACACATACTCCAATTCGATACGGAGCTGACAACGTGCTGCAGCTGAAATACCACGATCTTTAAAGCGGAAGCGCACTGTGTTCGGTGACACCAGTTGGCAAAGACAGATACTGCATTTCGAGCAGTGCTCTGCATGTAATAAGTGATCAATGGCTATAATCGGAATGTGACAATAATCCGGCTTCACGAGTTAATCCAAATTCCCGGACCAAAGGAGGAAGGGGAAAAAAACAAACAAACTGAGGAGCCTACAATGTGCCACCCGGGGAGACATCAAGGGCCGCGGCACCAGTTCCAGTGTGGCAGCAACAGGTCTGTGGCTGCCCCTCACTGGGAGGTGGGGCCAGATGCCTAAGGCGGATGACCTTGAACAGGGCACGAGTCAGTCAGAGGTATCTGCGTGGAGCTAACTCTGAGCTTCTGCAAATGACGAGAGGATGGGGAGGAAAGGCTGCTTTGCCCAGTCACGTGCTACCCCAAAGTGAGGCATCCGCGCTCCTTAGAGCAGCAGCTCTCATTTTTGCTTCAGGACCACTTTACGCTCTTAAAAACTAGTGAGGACTCCGAAGAGCTCTCGATCGAGGTCGTTATAACTATCCACGCCCACTGTATTCTAAATGAAATTTAAAATATACCTATGTCGTTCATTGTAAAATCAAAACAATAAACCCATTACATAGGAACGTAGCTATATCTCTGTGCGGTCAGTTTTGTGTCCACTTGGCGAGGCTAGCGGGTTGCTTTATTCTGAAGATGTGATTAAAACTCGCAGCTGACTTTAAGGCAGATTATCCTACATATTCTTAATAAGCCTGACTCGGTCAGTTAAAAGGCCTTAAGAGCAAAGCTGAGGTTCCCTTGATGAAGAAGAAATTCTGCCTGTGAATTACAGCTATACTTCTGCCCCAGAGTTCCAGCCTGCCCTACAGATTTGGGGCTTGCCTAGCCAGCTCTCACCAGCATGTAAACTATGTAATTCCCTGTGAGGTAGCTCTCCTCATACATCCAGAGAAATTCAAGGGTAGAGTACATTCGTTACCAAGTACAAGTTTCATGAATAAAGGTTAAACTGAGAATAGTAAGAGTTCTTAGAAACGTAAAACGTGGCTATGAAAAATAAATAAAATAAATAGAAGAGGTGGAGAACAGAATGAACAGACCTGAAAATAAATTTAGTTTGCTGGAAGAGTGAGCTGAATGCTTCTCCCAGAATGCAATGCAAAAAGGAGTTGAAACATACTAAAAAGGCGACTAGAGATGCGGGATAGTTCAAAGAGGTCCAACGCCTGGGTTCCAAGAGAAACAGCACACAGAATAACATATACTTAGAGACAAGAGAACTCCTAAATAAATATTAGGAAAGTGAACTCATCATGCATTGAAAGAATACTACATAATAACTTCTTAGTATTTATCCCAGAAATGAAAGAATCCTTAATTATAAAGGCACTTATTCATGTAACTCAATGCATTAATATTAAATGTAAATGGTCACATTATCAATTCATTGGGTGGAGGAATATCATTTCCTAAAAAGAAATGCCTATTCCTGATCAAAAGATTAGCAATCTAGTAATAAAGTTCTTTAACTTGACAAGAAAAATCTAACAAGAATTCATAGCAAATATCTCTCTTATAAAGGAAATATTAGAAACATTTCAATTAAAACCAGGGACTAAATAATTACCACTGACACCATAATTATTCAATCTTGCTAGTAAATTCAAGAAAAAAAATATATATCATGCAAAATTATACATAGTACATACGTACATGAATTTGAAACTAAAATGATCGCAGGTGGCATTATATAAATTTACCTACATAGTGGGGTCAGTTAACTATAGCCCATGGCCTGTGAGCTAAGAACGGTTTTTATATTTTTAAAGGGTTGCTTAAAAAGAAGATGTGACAGACTGTATGTGGCCCAAAAAGCCTAAAATATTCATTACCTGGTACTTTACAGAGTGTTTGCTGACTCTTGACCTACAGCATACAGAAGAATCAACTGACAAACTATTACAATAAGAGTTACATAAATCCATTGGACACAAAATACAGCAATTAGACAACACGAAAGTAAAGAAATAGAAAATGGAATCAACTAGAAAATAGAAACATAATTCGAAAATATGAAATCGGTTAGAAAAGGCAATTTTAAAAGAATCTCATTGCGGCAAAAACATTAAAAATCCAGAAATATCTGGAATGCCTTGCACAACTCCTTACATGGGGTTGAAGTAGAGATAATATTCCAATGTGACTTCATGGGACAGCGACTGCCTGGTCACGTGTTTCACCATTAACAGTTATAGGCAGCTCATTTCAGAGTGCTAATCGTTAGAATTCCAGCAGCTGATTTCTTAAAGATTAAAAAATAAAATCACACACAAAAAGGACACTTACGATTGATACGACGATGATGATGATGGTGAGCTTGAGATTCTTCATGCACATGGCTCGGGCAAGGTTTCTGCTGGTTGTTTTGAAGGTGACAGACTAGAAGAGAAGCACGAATTGTCTGACCCCTGGCACCGACCAAATGATTGATTGGCAGCAATACCGCCTACTGTCACTAATTCTGTTAAGTGCCAATGTTTTCGACCCCTCCCCTGTGTTCACAGGAATGGGCTGGCCACTCATCATCGCGAGCTCCTGGGAGCAGGCCTCTGCCACGTCTGCAGGAAGCAGTATGACCCACAGGCAAGGCTTCCCTCCTATGCCCTGTCCGCCAGGGCCGTGCCCGTGACGTTGAGCCGCAGAAGCGGTTCTTTCTGTTAATGAAATAAGCCCCACCTGCCTTATGCCTCCAATGAGGAAGGCTCCTTCTAAGCCACTTGGCTGCAATTCTGCCCAGTCCGATTCTGAGATTCTGAGCGTAAAACCTGCTCAGTTTCCGTAGGATGGTATGTCTTTGCTTGTATGAGGGCCAACCCCCACCCCAAAACTGCACTCCTTCAGTTATCCATTTCGTTTTGAAACATCAATTTCTCCATATCTACTGAACCATTCCTACGAGGACACAGTTGAAAACAAACAAGCAAGCAAACAAACAACAGAATTCCTTAAAAGCGTAGCGATTCCACTCCTAGATACATACCCAAAAGAGATCTGTGCACGATTCAGCAAAAGACATATACGAAAATATTCTCGACTGCGCTATTTCTCTTATCTCAAAACTGGAAACGGCCCAGATGCCCATGCACTGTACCATGTAGTGAAGAACTTAAACTTGCCCTCAGCTCCTAGGAGGTAACCTTGGCTTCCCTGGGGGCCGAGGTCTAGCCCAAAAGTCACAATGTGATTTAAGGTGGGGACTAGTCACTACGGAATGACCAACTATGTGATTTAGGGGCTTTGAGTTATACCTAGGGGAGTTGGAGACTGGAGAAAAAATCAAGCCAGTGGGCAGTCCGATTGTGTCTGCATAATGAAACCTCGATAAAAACTGGACACCAAAGCTTGGGAAAACTTCCCTGCTTGACAATACCTTATGCATGCTGTCACACGTCTATGCTGGGAGAGTAACGTGTCCTGACTCCATGAGGACAGGACAACAGAAGCTCCGGGTTTGGTACTCCCCCAAACTCCACCCTATGTGCTTCTATATTTGGCTGAGCTTAATCTGTAACCTTCGCCTGTAATAAACCATAACTGTGAGTATAACAGCTTTCACGGGGTTCTCTGAGTCCTTCTAGTGAATCCTCAAAAAATAAATTCGCGGCTGGTGTCAGAACTGAGGGCAATCTTGGGGACTGCGCCCTCTAAACTTCATAGTTTGTGAACTTCTCGGCTGCCTGAATTCTTTGCAATTATTCACAAACTAAATCACATTAAAGAATCCAAGAAAGAGGAAGATAACATGGATAAGAAAAAGTAGTGAGCAATGAAATTAATAAACCTAAATGTAGTTATGTGATTCGAGAGATGGAGATGGAGAGTCCTCCAGGATCTTCAAGTCGGTATTTGAACATTGATAAATCACCTGTTTCAAAACCAGTTCCGCTATAAAGAACAAAGATGGAAACAACCCAAAGGGCCCATCGATGGACAAATGGATGAAGAAAATGTGGTGTATCCATACAATGGAGTATTATTCGCTCACGAAAAGAAACGAAGTTCTGGTTCATGCTACAACATGGATGAAACTCGAAAGTATGATGCTAAGTGAAATAGGGCAGATACAGTAAGAGAAATATTGTAGGATTCCACTTATATGAATGTACCTAGAACAGGCAAATTCATAGAGACACAGTATGATTAGAACCAGGGGCTGGCGGGGAAGGGGAATGGCAAGGTACGGCTTTATGGGTACAGGATTCCTGTTTGGGAGGATGACAAACTTTTAGAAATAGTGGTGATGGTCGCACAACGTCGTGAATGTAATTAATGTCACTGAATTGTACACTTAAAATGGTTAAAATGGCTCATTTTATGTCACATCTATTTTACCACAATTTAAAAAATTATAATATATCAAAAAACCATTGAAGTGTATACTTTAAACAGGTCAACTGTATGGTCGGTGAATGATTTATCAATAAAGAAATAATTCAATAAAGCTGTTAAAAACCAAGAGGTGATAAAATGAAATAATTTTTAAAATACCTCAATAAAGAAAATTAAAAAAAAAAAAAGATAATGAGGAACAAAGGGGCTGGGGCAAATATAAACCAAAGATCAACATATGTTACTTAAATCGAACTCTATCAATGTGTACATTATATGTAAGTGGAATAAATATTTCACTGGTAAACATGCTCCATATATTCAAGAAGGTAGAGGAAGGCACACATGTGTTAGAGAGACACATGGAAGATAGAAAAAGATGCAAATCAAACTTGTAAAGACGAAAAAGACATGAGAAAAATACTGCATAAGAAAAGATAAGTAAACTTGGAGACACAGCAATAGAAACCCCTCTAAAGGAAACACAGAAAGAAGAGACTGAAAAAATAAACAGACCATCGGTGAGCTGGGGGACAACTTCGAGTGGCCTAATGTACATGTGATTGGAGTCCTGGAAGGAGAGGAGATGGACAGAAAAATACTTGAAGAAATAATGGTTGTATATTTTCCTGATTTGACGAAAACTTCAAACCCACAGCTCAATAAACCCAAAGCTGAAGAAACATGAAGAAAACTACACCGAAGCACATTATAATCACATCTCTTGAAATCAATGATCAAAAATAAACCTCAAAAACACCCAGAGGGAAATAAACACATTATGTATGTAAGGATGACGGTAGAACTATGTAAAAAGACAGAGATAGAACATCTTTAGATTCTTGAAAGAAAATGTCTTTAAAATAAGGAAGTAAAATCAAGGCTTGCCAGACGTACGCATACTGAAAAGAATTCATTATTAGCAGATCTGCACTACAAGAGAAAGTAAAGATCTCCTACAGGCAGAAAGGAAATGATACCAGATGGAAATCTGGGTCTAAACGAAAGAATGAAGAGGTACTAGAAATGGGTCAATGGGAAAAGATGTTTTTCTTGTTATTTAGACCTCTTTAAAATATAATCGGCTATGTAAACAAAAATAACGATGTATCGTGAGGTTTCAAATATATGTGTAAATAAAAGTAGTAGAAAAATATCATCAAGGCCAGAAAGGTAAAGTGGAGGTAGACTATTTTACGGTTTTTATATTGTTTGTGACGTAAAATGATACCACTTGAAGGCAGACTACGGTGAGTTAAAGACTTATACTGTAAACCATAAAGCGGACACGAGATAACAAAGAGTTATAGCTAATAAGCCGACAAAGAAGGTAAAATGGAATTTAAAAAGCATCTGAATCGAACAGAAGGCAGAAAAAGAGGGAGAAGAGGGAAAAAAAAAAACAGAAGGGACAAATAGGAAACAGATACCAAAATGGTAGATTTCAAACCTCCCTACAAACAAAACTCCAGGATGAGACAGCTTCACTGGTGAATTCTGCTAAACAGCTGGGGGACAGATACATCAACAGCACCTAACCCCTGCCAGAGGGTACACAGAGAGAGGCGACACTTCCCAAGTTGTTTGACGAGGCCACTGTATCCTTAATACCACAGCCTAGAAAGGATAATGTATTACAGACCAACATCCCTTACGAACGCAGACGCAAAATTCCTGAACCAAACAACAGCAAATCCGACAAGGTCTCATATAAAAAGGATAATATATCGTGACCTTGCAGGAATGTTGGCTTAACATTATAAAATGTTAACTGGATAAGTTACACTCCTTCAGAGCAAAGTAGAAGGAGGAAAACCATACAATCTTCTCAAGAGATGGAGAAAAACATTTGACAAAATTCATGAATAAAATTCTCAAGTGAGGAACTGAAGGGGATTTCTTCCACTTGATAAAGGACACTATAAAACAAATCTGTGATTAACAACGTAGTTAGTGAAAATATTGAATTTTCCCCCATAAGATGTGCTACACACAAGAACTTGCGCTGCCGCTATTTGTATTGGATTCGCTATTGTGTAGAAGATTCCAGCCAGTGCAGTAAGGCAAGGAAAAGAAATAAAAGGCAAGAATCTACAAAAAAGCTACTGGAACTAATAAATGAATTTTGCAGAGTTGCAGGCTAGAAACCAGGTCAACATAGAAAAATCAATTTCATTTTTATATATTAGCAATGAGTATTGGGCTATAAAGTAGCCATTAAAGAGCCTGGAGTTTTGACTTCTGTATAATGCCTTCCTCCAATTAACACAGCTCTGATGAAAACCTGTTTAGCCTTCTAAGACCTACTGTCAATAAACGTCCCTATAAAACTAACTGACAATAAACATCTAAAAAGCTCTTACTATGTAGCAGACACGGCGTTAGGTGTTTTGCATGTATTATCTGATTTAACCCTCAAAACACTATGAAGTGGGTACACCTCCACTTTACAGATAACAACTGGGGCACAGAGAGGTTAAGCAACTCGCCTAAGTTCACACAGCCAGTAAGTGGTGGAGATGGGATTCAACATCTGGGAGCCCGACTCTAGAGCTAGTGCTCTTAACCACTACAATCTAGCTGCCAGTAAGAAGGAATGTGATCACGCACTGATCTGTTTCAAGGTGTAAACTTCCAGTCTGCATTTACACTTGTCACTGCGTAGGCCAAAATTGTAACCGATCTCTGCCCTCCTTCCAGTCACCGTATACCTATCGTCTTTCCTCCAGACCTTCGCTCACTCACCACATGGACAATGCAAAGACACACGTCACTGCTAAATAAGGAGGTCACAGGAACACACTGACATTCCTTTTAAGGCTCAGTGGCCCTTCACAGTCCCTGCCGCTTGCTTGACATAAGGAAAGCCCAAGCTGTCACAGTAAGCAAGAAAGCGAATGAACTGTCCAGCTTTCAGCATTCACACTGGGTCACAAGTGGCCTGAACATCTTTCGTGTTTTACGAAACGCACAGAGAACAGACTCGCATGTGCGGCCGAGGTGCTAAATTATACAGGAATTAATTCAAAGCTTTAAAAAAAATTGCTTCTGTAAATGGAGTATGTTTTCTGAACCAAAGCTTCCTTAATGGCTATTAACGGGTCATGGTTTTTTCTCTATGCCTCGCCGTTATCCTCATAATCACAACATAATCACATAATGGAGGTTAGAAAAGGAAGGAAAAACTACAGTACTGAATTGAAGACATCGCCCTATTATGTTAGGCATCAACCACAGTTTCTCTGCTTTACATCCTGAAAAATAGCCCATACTTACCGAATCCACGAGATTTTCTGTTTTATCTATCAATAATTCCAATCTTTCTCCTCGTTGAGCTACCAGATCTAAAAATGTTGGAAAAACAGAAAATACCATGTTTATATTAAAAATCTGCTATTTTTGTCTTTGTTTTAAGTCAAATCTTATTTGAATTATAGTTGGTATTCTTGATAACTCATAGTTACTAGAAGAGCACTTACATCTGTAAGAAATAAAAGGTTTTACTGAAGCTTATTAATTAAAGTAGGGGTTGGCAATTTTTTTCTGTAATGGGTCAAATACTAAATATTTCAGGCTTTATGGGCCAAACGGTCTCAGTCACAATTGCTTAACTGTCAGACATAGACAATATGTAAACGAACGGGCATGACTGTGTTTCAAGGAAACTTTATGTAGAAAAACAGACCAGATTGGATCCAAGGGATATAGTTCGCAAGCCCCTAAATTAAGGGTATAATCTGAAAGCGAAAAAAAAAGGAACCCACAAAACAAGGGAGAGTTGGACACTTCAAGAAATGCCATATGAGGCGCTCCACAGACCCTCTCTCCAACAAAACCACCATGATTGGTAACACTTATAAAAACAAACAAACTAGCAGTCTAGTTTCATTCTTTCGCATAAGGCTTTCCAATTTTCCCAGCACCATTTATTGAAGAGCGCTTCTCTTCTCCATTGTATGATTTTGGTCCCTTTGTTGAAATTATTTGCTCCTATATATGGGGGCTCCTTTCCGGACTCTCAGTTCTGTTCCATTGGTCTGTGTGTGTTTTTCTGCCAATGTCATGCTGTTTTGATTATTGTCGCTTTGCAGTATAATTCGAAGTCAGGCAGAGTGATATTTCCTGCCTTATTTTTTTTTCCCTCAGGATTGCTTTGGCTATTCGGGGTCTTCTGTGATTCCATACAAGCCTGATGATTTTCTGTTCTATTTCTTTAAAAAAGAATGCCATTGGGATTTTGATGGGGATTCACACTAAAAAGCCTCTGCACAGCAAGAGAAACCATCCACAAAACAAAAAAGCAACCAACTGAATGAAAGAATATATTTGCAAACGATGCCTCTGATATAATTTTGGATTATACATCAATACGTAAAAGAATCATACAAGTCGACAACGACAACAAAAAACAAACAATCCAATTTAAAAAAATGGGAAGAGGACCTGAGCACACACTTTCCCCAAGAAAACATAAAACTGACCAACAGATATATGAAAAGATGCTCAGCTTCACTAGCTATTAGGGAAATGCAATTCAAAACCACACTGAGATACCACTTCACACCTCTAAGAATGCCTGTCATCAACAGGACAAGTGATGACAAGTGCTGGGGGGTTGTGGAGAAAAGGAACCCTCATAGACTTCTGGTGGGGATGTAAATTGGTACAGCCACTATAGAAAACAGAATGGAGGTTCCTCAAAAAATTAAGACTAGAATTACCATATGATCTAGCGATCCCTCTTCTGGGTATCCACCCCCAAATTTGAAAACATGTATCTGTAAAGATACATGCACCCGATGTTCATAGCGGCGTTATTCAAGGTGGCCAAGACATGGAAACAGCCGAAGTGCCCTTCGATAGATGACTGGATAAAGAAGCTGTGGTACATACATGCAATAGAATATTACTCAGCCATAAGAAGAGATGACATACTGCCATTTGCGAAACAGGGATGAGTCTTGGATTATCATACTAAGTGAAGTAAGTCAGACGAAAAAAGTTGAGAACCATATGATTTTACTCGTATGTGGGATATAAAAACTGAAAGCAACAAAATAACAAGACAGACAAACGGAGACTCAGGGACACGGACAACAGTTTAGTGGTCAGCGGAGGGAAGAGGGGGAGGAAGATAAGGGTAAAGGGGGTCAAATGTATGGTGACAGAAGGAAATCTGACTCCGGGTGGTGAATATACAATGCAATATACATGTGACGTAGTATTGAATTGTACACCTGAAACCTATATAATTTTATTAACCAATGCCACCCCCAATAAATTTTAACAAACCACCACCATTTAAAGTGTCTGAAAACTGTGAATGTCCTAACAATATACAACAAATGCAGAAACATTTATACAATAAAATCAACTAATTCTCAGTAAGAATGGTGCGAGTCAATGTCATTTAAGCCATGACCCGCTCCCTCCCTCAGCTCAGTGATACGGAGGCTTTATTCCTGGCGACTAAAGCCTGGGGGTTCTCTCCTCCCCCAGGTCCCAGGCAAAGGCTATGCTTTCTCCCCAGGAGGGGCCAGTCATTAGCGTCTCTCCTCCCAGCCCACTCCATCCCAAGCTGCATGATGCATTAGTTCTATTCCAGAAAGACGTGGCTAATGAGGCTGGGGCTCCCTTCCCCCACGTGCCTCCAACACACAGGGCAGAAGCTCTACCTCAGGTGGCAGGCCAAGAATACTGAGCCCTGAGTTCCCCTTCTCCGACTTACTCATACAGCAGAGGTTCCACGCTAACAGAGGCAAGCCGAGGAGACCACGGCTACCTAGCACTCCACAGGCAGAGCAAGGGTGTCACTCCAAGAGAAGCAGTCCACTGTCCCTATCCATAGCTCTAGAGCAGTGGCTGAAAGATTGTTCCCAGGGGGACTGGCAGGCCTCAGGAACAGAGAACTCACCCTAAGAGAACAGACATTATTTGCAAGAGACTATGGGGACGTTCAAGCGTAAGGATGCTGTCGAGATAATGGAGATTTTGGAGGTAAGCAATTAAGATGCAGCTGGTAGCTCCATGAGACCCACACGTTAAACCACAGGCCAGC